TATGGAAAGAGCTTTTCCAGGAATACCCCAGCAAATGAAATCCGCTATACAGTACTGTATATTCCATGGTTGAAAAGCGCTGTCCCGAAAACACATAAGCCTGACACGCATCGCTCCCCAGACTCTGATAGAACCCCAAATAATAGACTTTATGGAACTCTCCACGCTTTGAAATGGAGAGATTCCTAATTATTCAAATAAAATAGCTGTTTAAAAAAATAAGACAAGACTAATCGATTAATGTGTAAAAAATAAATCCTGATCAGTCACTGGGAGTGAAGAAACGAACAACCATCCTATATATTCTTACCTCTGAGTAAATCCCACTGAATTCAATGAGGTGTGCTTCTGGGTACAATATATAGGGTTCCCTGTTCATGCTCCTACAGTCAGCAGAACTTTTCAACTTCACTTACAATTCAATCTTCTGTCTATTGATTCGGAAGTAAATCCCATTATTGTGTTCAATAAGGCTTTTTACTCGGGTCAGTCTATATAGAATGACAGCGGTATTTATTACATTTCGCGCAGCCCAATTGTTCCTGTGTTTAACCCGAAAGTAATTGCCAGTGAGACGAAGGCTGCCATTCTAAACACAGTTACTCGAGAGTAACCCACCCCCCGCGATCACAAAGGGACGGATCTTTGAATAGGCGCACAGGACAGCATTTGTTACAGGGCAGTGCTACAGATGTCTACGCAGGAGTCAGCCCCATTAGGTTGAAAAGGGCTTACTCTTAGGAAGAGCACTAGGCTGGATCATTAAGGGAGCAGGGGAAGCTGACGCGGGGAGTTTTTTTAAAAGGCCCCTTTCATCTGCTGGGTCAGACACACCTATTGCTGGGGAGGACGAGAGGCGTAGAAAAAGTGAGTTCATCCGTGCTAAATCAAAGCCACTTTTTCAATTCCTCTTCTCTTCCCTCATAAGAGAACGTGTTCATGCGAGTTACAATTGCGCAGCTCCACGTTTGCGTGTGGGAGGTTTAGTAGCGCCCCTCCTACCCGACAGACTACTGGTGCGTAATGAGTAAAGAGCCCTTGGAAATACCCACTTCGGACATTCGTGGAGGACGTAAACTTTCCGCTAAAGGCATACCCCTTCCCCAAAAGAGCAGTGCATGCCGCACTATCCCTTTCCCCTAAAATAACAAGGACTGTGCAGAAAAAGACCCTCCCCCTTCGCCCCCTTGAACGAGAGGGTGGGGAGCAAGCGAGAGCTCGGAGAAAAGGCAGCCCCGATCCACGGAGAAGGGAAAGACGGAGATTTGCCTGCATCTGCTTTGCCTCATCGTTTCCTTATAATGGGTCTTTAAAGAGATAGAATAAATAAATAAATAAATAAATAAATAAATAAATAAATAAATAAATAAATAAATAAATAAATAAATAAATATTTCCACACTCTAAGATTTCTCTAATTTTCGACTCCTTTTTACCTTCCGTATTTCAACGTTCAGACAAGGATCGCTTACCCAGAAGTAAGCCACGTTGTAATCAGTCGTGTTTACGTCTGAGTGGACATGCCTCGGGTTACCTGGCAGGGCCCAGATCTGTAACGTTACAGAACTCTACGGAATTCACGGCAATCCTACAGTCAAGGCAAAGGTTAAGCCCCCCCACACACACATTTTTGCATCTTTTGCGTCTGAGTTATGGTCATCGTTACCATCCAAAATTAAACAAAAATTGTTTAATTTATTGAATGCCGTACCTACGGTACAATCCTATTTATCACTGCGTGGGAGCAAACCAAAATGACGTCAATTGGAGTTACTCTGCTGAGTGAGCATCAGATCGCAACGCGAACGCTGTATTGTTTCACAGGTATTAAAAACCGGTTCAAATAACTACTGTGTCTTGTTAACTAGGGCTGAAAACATGGGATCCCAACGTGGCAAATTCCCAGTCACCCTTTCCTCCACGAAATGGCTTGCAATGTTGCTGCTTAACGGCTTTGAGGATCTTGCTGCCTGCGCATGCATGTTTACTAGGAAAGAGTCCATACAGTTCTGGAGAGAAACTGTCTCCGGAAAAACTCGCCAACGCTCTCTAACGCTTCAGCTAGACTGCATTTATGTTCGGTCCCTCGCCTTGACTGGGTCCTGGATCAGGGACCAAGCTGTTCCGACTGTCCGAGTTATGAGGCTCTGGTCCACACCCAAGATCGTGCAACCCGCCACATACTTACTTCCGAGTAACCCCCACGGAACTAAAAGGCATTTACTCCTAAGAAAGCTTGTACAGGCATCCAGGCATTCCTTTCTGTAGGAGCGGACTCTGTGCTGCGTAATTTTGTCTTTTTTTAAAAAATCGCCCACCGAGACCCAGAAAAGAAGCCTTCACAGACTTTAAGGAGCAATTTCTGCCTTAAAAGTTTCTCGACAGCTACAGCACCGCGTCCTAAAGCATTTTTTTAAAAATGCACCCTTTTAAGTGAACCATGCACTTTTTTGCATCTGAAGAAATGGACCGAAATCCACGAGGGCTTAAGCCAAATTAAAACTCGTCGGTTCTTAAGGTGTCACAAAACTCTTTGCTGCTGCCTTAAAAGCTCTGTGGATCGCACCTTTGTTCGGAGGCTTGGGCTCTCCGTCTCTCCCCTTCCCCTCCGCTCCCCTCCCAGCTTTCACCACCCCCTAACACCCTGCCCCCACTCCGCCCTCTCCTCAATGTAAAAGAAAAACGGAAGTCGACAGAAAAACAACAAACACGGATCGTCGAGGTTCCCCCTCAAGCCAGAATCTCTCCCCCGGCAGCCTTTTCCAAAGCTCCTGTCGACAGATACTGACGAATAACAGCCATCCTTCACTTGCTAAGCAAAATGCAGCCCCCGCTCCCTCCCTCCCTCCCTCTTACCTTCCTCCTTCCCTCCCCTGAAATAAAAATACAGAGCCCGTAAACAATCCTAGAGGAGGACTTTGGTGTATAGCGCACAGAGAGAGGAGAGGGAGGGAGAGAAAGAATATAGATATATTCTTAAAATACTGACGAATAACAGCCATCCTTCACTTGCTAAGCAAAATGCAGCCCCCGCTCCCTCCCTCCCTCCCTCTTACCTTCCTCCTTCCCTCCCCTGAAATAAAAATACAGAGCCCGTAAACAATCCTAGAGGAGGACTTTGGTGTATAGCGCACAGAGAGAGGAGAGGGAGGGAGAGAAAGAATATAGATATATTCTTAAAACAANGGCCGGCCCTAACATTAGTCACAGAGACAAGCGGCCTCATGAGGCAGTCAATACCGGGCAGTATTGGACGGCGGGGCAGTGCGAGCCATCCGATCAGCCCTGCGTCCCCTATTCTAGCTCTTCTACTCCAGTTGCTGATCTGGGGGTGTATCCGCTGGGATACAACCCTCGATTCTTCCCAGGAAAGGGGTGTAAAGAACCCTTTTGTCCTTCCTTTCGGACAGCAAAGTGACCCTGGCCGGCCCTGCCGTGCAGCAAACCGTCTCTCCCCCCCCCCCCGGTTTGTGGAAACACGCGTTTCTCACGTTCAGACGTTACATTTTGTGTCAAGGTGCACGATTATAAAGCATACCACGCTACAGGCAATTCGGGAAGCAACCTAGGGTCTGAGGTTGATGTCCCGTTTGACTGGGGGAAAAGCTCTACTACATTTACTGGGGGAAACAGCTCTTCAGAAATTTCTTTCTTTCTCAGTCAGTGTTTCCAGCTTGCAAGAAAAGACAAGAATTCTTACAGGGGCAGAGCAGAGGAGAAAGGATCTGGACTTACAGCTGATAGGTTCAGGTGTGGAAATTTATAAGCTGGTTGTTAATACGTGTAATAAAATATCACATCCCACTTGTAAATGCATCTTGTGGTCATGTGATAATTTTATTTCAAATATTTAGCAGCTAACTTGTAAATATGTCCCATGTATTTAGATATATATAGATATATATAGATATATAATATTTCTCTATATCATATTATATATATAAAAGAGGGCACCTTGGTCATTATTCTTAATTATTTTATTGTTTTCTCTATACCAAATGTTTATTTAGTGAAATAGTCCTGAAGATATAATCATTCTACATACGGCGCTTTTATTTCACATAATACTTAAGGAGAGGAAACTTTAAAAAAAAGACCAACAAATAAAAATTAAAACAAAAATAAAAAAAAGCCCCACATAGAATTTGACATAAACTTTCAAAGACCACGGTGAAAACCTTCCCCACCCTTCATTCTTTTTTTTTCTTTTTTGTTCAATCCACGGAACACATTCTCCTCTGCAAGAAATAAAACCCTTTCCTATTTATTTTATTTTTAAATATTTTTTTATTTACAATAGGGGCTTGCATAGGAGAACTGCTTGGCATGGATAGTACCCTTTATTTAAAACAAACAAAACAACCCCAAAGAAACCCAACAACAACCCAGCAACAACGTCAATGACACAAATCAAGACATGAAAAAGTGGCAAGTCTTCGGATAATAAATAATAAATTACTTTATAATTTTTGCAATGCGAGAGCAAACAGAACAGAAATATTTCCCCCTCTTGATTTCCAGCGAAGGAGAAAAAGAGAAAGACACAGAGAACAAACTCAGACCATTAAAATGGGGAAGAAAAAAAAAAGAGAGAGTTCTTAAAAAAAAAAACCCAAGAACTATACACATCTTTGGGGAAATGAAGGGGAATGTTATTGAACCTATGCCAGTCAAAAACACAACCCCAAAAGACGCTTTTGTTTTGTGTGTGTGTGTGTGTGTGTGTGTGTGTGTGTGTGTGTGTGTGTGTGTGTGTGTGTGTCTGTGTGTGTGTGTGTGTGTGTGTGTGTGTGTGTG